GAGTTGATTGGGAAGGATGGTTACAGTGACGTCCATCGTATGAAGCACCCCAAATTCCCAACCCAGTATCGTACAGCTGTGGATACTTTTCTTTTCGCTACAAGATATGACTTAGGGGATATTTATTGCATTCACATCTGGCACAATAATGCTGGATCTTCCCCAAACTGGTACTTAAGCAGAGTCAAAGTATTTAATGTGGATACTCAACGATCGTGGCTATTTATATGTAGGAACTGGTTAGGCCTTGGCAAGGCGGATGGCAAAATAGAAAGATACATTTTTGCTTCAAATCTAAAAACAAGGTTAGAGAAAATGGATTTCTTTCTGATACACCTGGCTAGTGACTTAGAAGATAATCATCTCTGGCTTTCCATATTTTCTCAAGTGGTCACTGGTACTTTCAACAGGGTACAGAGAGTTTCTTGTTGCCTGGCTATAATGCTTTCAACATTGCTCCTGAACATCATGTTCTACAGCGGTCAGGAAGAAGAAATTATTCCATTAAAATTCCGGATTTTGAGATCCATGTACATTGGGTTCTTCAGTGCTCTCTGTTGTGTTCCTTTACAAGTGACTATGACTGTCCTGTTTAGATACTCCATGGAAAAGCCTTCCGATGACAAGGAAGATATGCCTGACTATAGTCCCTCGTCTTCAGAAACAAGTGAGGAAGATGAGGAAAGTTCCTCTTCGTCCACTACTGATGAAGAAGAGGAGGCCAAAGCAGCTGGTAGCACAGTTAATGTCTCAGAAAAGGAGCCCCCTAAAATCAGTACAAGAAAAAGAATAATTATGCTGATCAAGATGTTTACTCGAAAGCCACAGTTTGCCTGGTGGTGGAGATACGTCGCATGGGCCATAGTTTTTTTCATGTCTTTCGTCTCTGCCGTGTTCATCATCTTATATGGCCTCACCTACGGCTCCAGCGCCTCCACAGAATGGTTCATAGCATCCATGACATCATTTTTTGAGAGTGTCTTCCTGTTGCAAACCCTAAAGATGGCCCTCATCTCAGGAGTCAGTACCATCAGCATCAAATACTGCAAGAACATCACCTGGATATCGGCAGAGCAATACCAGAAGATGAAGCTGATCAAAGTGAATATAGATCCTAAAGAGGTCAGAAAGGTTCACCACGAACTGGTCAGGATTAGGCAGACCAGGGAATACGAGCCTTTGGAGGAAGACGAAGTTGTCATCTTAAGGAAAAGAGTACGGGCCCAACACCTAGCATTTGTTTTCATAAAGGACATCATTTGTCATATTATCTTTGCCTCCTGCGTTCTAATTGTGGCTTACACGACTCTACCCTCTGTTTTATTTTACCACAACAAATTCATCCATGATAAGTTTAATCTTGGTCTATCCAAAGTAACCAAACTTGAGGACATTTACCTTTGGATGAGTGACACTTTTGTACCGTTGATACATAATGACTATCAACCCACCTACCTTTCAGATTCATGGTCCAAAATCCTTGGTTTGCCCAGAATGAGACAGGTCAGAGGTCTGCATCTTGAAAAGCCTTGTTTTTCTTCAGGTCACTTTGCAAACAATTATCTGATTGGCAAAAAACCCTGTCACTATGATTTTGCTCATGATCCGGAAGATCAAAAGCATTACCTTGGGTCGTGGACCAAGCCGATCGACATGTCCGTCTCCAGCCACATTTCCAATTTTCAAGGATTCACGTATCAGTCAGATATTGATCAATGGGAATATAAGTCTTTCGGTGTGGTAAATACATATGGCCCGGGAGGATACTCATTTTATTTTTTTCCAGGAGAACAACGACTAAATACAACAATGAGATTGGAAGGATTACAAAGCAATAAATGGCTTGATAAACGGACCCGGGCTCTGATTTTTGAGCTGACAACTTTTACTCTAGATGTAGACCTATACTGCAGCATCACAATCATTTTTGAGTTTACCAACTTTGGCGTTATTAGTTCAACTTTGTCAATTCATTCCTATAAGCTCTCTAAATTCAAGTATGAAACCACCCCTCGTTTGGTAGTTTATGGAATCATGATCTACATTCTTGTCTTCTACTTAGCAGATGAATTTCACATGTTACGTCAAGAAAGAATAGGTTATCTCCAGACAGCGACCAATTTAAACAATTTCGCCATAAAGAACATCTGTATGTTTTTTATATTACTCATTGCCCTGAAATTCAAGATGGCATTTACCTTGCTGGAGTTTTATCTGCTTAATCCAGAAGAATTTGTCCCCTTCCACGTTGTTTCTCAAATTGACCAGCTCTACACAATGGTGGCGGGTATTTTAGGTTTTCTCCTGGTGTTGAAACCCTACCGATATTTCAGGTTCTTGTACAAGATGCGCCTTGCGGAACAAACCTTGTCAAAAGTCTTCCCCGTGTTCCTTCATCTGACAATCCTTGCCGTTCTGTTGTTTTGCACGTTCATGTCCTTTGGCTATCTCATATTTGGTCAACATGAGTGGTCTTTCAGTACCTGGGTTTACGCTTTGCAGACTGTCGTTTTCTATTGCTTTTCGGGATTCAAACAGCTGGATGTTGCATCACGATGGTGGCTCACCATATTTTTCCAAGTGTCGTTCCTGTTTACGGTGGTGTTCATCTTCGTCAATTTGTGGAGAAGCCTATTAATGTCAACTTACACATCGATGAAACAGACCGTTTACGAGCAGCATTCAGATGAAGCAGAAGCCATCAACTTTTTGTATTTGAAGTTGCGAAGCATATGGCGTAATTTAACCCGCCAGCCAGACTCTGGAGATGATTATGCCAATGTTACAATATTTGGTAAATCAGTGGATAGGGATAGTCGACAGCCGGGGCTGAAATACCATAAAATAGAAGGCAAGAAAATGGTTTCTCTTACCATTTGAAAAAGGCTTCAGTAAAAACCAGGTACATTTTTATTGCTTCTGTCTCAAGCTGAGTTCCACAGAGTTTTCAGTTTCAAAAGGTTCTCTTGCAACCATCTTCATCTTCAATGCAATTTTGACTCCCCCCAAATTCTTATTTTTCCTGTAACAACAAGCAGCCCGTTACTTCATACACATTGCCATTTTAAAAAAAAACTTGTTTTGTTCTATATTCCAGTTATTATCCTAATAAATAATCTATTTAAACCATGTGCTCTTTCAAGTGTTTTTTTTTTTTTTTTAGGAAGGGGGAGTTAGTAAGACTAGATAATTCTGCCATTGCAGCAAATTCTATTTGCACTGCATTTGCAATCAGGTTGAACAAATAAAAGCAAGTAACGAATGGAAGCAAGTCAGTGTGAGACAAGACAATAGATAGTGTGTTACCGCTTTTCTAGTTTTTAGCCTGGTATTTCTAAAATCATTACCAGTATTTTGTGTGATTGTAAACGTTCTGATATAGTTGTATTTTTAAAAAAGTCATCCCTGGAAGTTGTGCAATCAAAATGTAGGACCCAAAGCAAATAATCATGGCTCATGGCAGTATTTATTCCTTGAACACTGTACTATATAGAACTTTCTTCCAGAGAATAATGGGGGTAATTCCTATAGATAAAAGGGGGCAACATATGTATATATTTTGGAAAGGAGGAAAAGAAGATACATTCACACATTTGCATAGGTAATAGATGATGTAAGCATAGGTATTCATAATTAGCAAACTTCAAGTTAGTTCTATTGTTACTATTACATACATGGACACAATACGGACACAATACAGAAGCCTGATGATGGCAGATGAGATTCTGCTGAAACGTTGCTACAACTTTAAAAGAACTACAATGACGTGGGAAAATACCCGAACCAAGCCGAACACCATATATATATATATATATACACATACACATACATACACACACACACACACACACATACATACATACATATAAAAGAAATATATTTACATTGCCACAGAAATTTTGATACAACTGTTTTGAGAACCAGACACTTCAAGGTTATCTTTTTTATGTGCCAATCAGTATGTATTTTCTATGTTTCTATTTTGCTAACATGCTCCTCCTCTTTGAAGAATTTATTTTGCTCACCAATTTTACACTTAGCATCTTCAAAAAATACCCAACAAATGCTACCCGTAGATATGAGGACATTATAGCATGAGGACATAGCATATTTCCTACCTTTGGACTTTGTAATTGTGGAAGTCTAAATCAAATTGGTTAGATTAATGCAAACGATTGAAATATTGAAATACTTAATGATGCTGTTTAATTAGTCAAATTTATACTTCACTATTTTTCTTTTTCTTTTAGTTATTCTCATTGCATCTCTTACAATGAAATTAAATGCTATCTTCAATGTACATTGTAACTATAAAAATAAAACACAAACACACCTCCTTCGCATTCTATACGATTGCATTGAAAACCCCTGATGTTGCATTAATATTGCACTATACAGTAGAATTCAATATAGTTACTGCTCTGGGATAGAAGCTATTTTTCAGCTTATTTGTCCTTGTTTTTATTATCCTGTACCGTCTGCCAGATGGTAATAGTTCAAAAAAAAGGGTGCCCAGGATGAGATGAACATTTAAGAATGTTTTGAACTTTCTTAAGGCAACAGTGTGTGTGTGTGTGTGTGTGTGTGTGTGTGTGTGTGTGTGTGTAAACGGCTGTGAAAGCCTGACTCACAGACGAACACTATACAGAAGCCTGATGATGGCAGATGAGATTCTGCCAAAACGTTGCTACAACTTTAAAAGCACAACTATAATGACGTGGGAAAATACCCGAACAAAGCTGAATACCATACATATACACGTACATATATACACACACATATATATACCTTTATACATACACACACACACACACACTCATTCATTCTCATATATAATTATTATTCTCAATTTTTTCCCAAGTTATTTGGTCTGCTTTGTTTTAACTTGGCACGAACTTTGGTGGCCATATTGAAAGTGGAAACCGAAGAAAGATTCTAGAATCCACTGGCTCACTTCCTCTCGTTGGGATCTCTAAGGTTACTAAGCAACAGCTGGTGTGATGCCTGGAGCTACTGAAACCGTTTTCTTCTTTGTGAGAGCCCGGCCATTCCTTTGGCCTCTGCTCTCCCTCTTCTGCTGCTTCGGTGGCTGCCCCAGTACCCTGGCAGCACAGCTTCATCTCATGCCACCACCGCTGTCCATCACTTGTGCCAAGCCTGAGAACCGTGTCTATCAACAACAAGACCGCCCTTTCCAGGTCTCGTGTCTTTGGGACAGATATGTGGTGTTGCACTACTCAAAAGCCCCCAAGCGAAACCCCAAGAAGGGAGGCACGGAATCACTAATGCCCCCTCTCTGCCACTGGTATCGGGATGCCATCCGGGTCAACTGGACAACTTCCTGGACAGGTGAGCTGATGCTCGGTCCAGGCCTATCAAAGGAAAGTCCCCATCCACCTTGGGCTAATACTCGGATCTCTGTACAGTGCATCTCAGCGTCATGCTTGGCTCCCTTGTGCTTGTATCACAACCTGAGCATTGAGGTTGTGGGGCAAGATATTCATCTCTTCCAGCTGCAGCCTCGCACATTTCCCCTTTTGGAGAGGCAGCCAGTGCGCTTGGGCTGGTGTGCACGCCTCAAGAGTTCGGCCTGGCACTACTACTTCAAGAGCCAAGGGGGTCTTCCTGAGGACCTCCTCATTCCCACCAACCAGCACAATGAGCCCCTCCTACTTAGTGACTACCCCAGTGCCGAATTGTACCAGGTCTGTATGTCTTACTATAGCTACCATTTGACTGTGCAGTACCCACTTCGTGGAACCTACATCGCTTCGGTCAGCTATAAGCCGGGACCCCAGATCAGTCTCAGCCTGGATTTCTTTGTGGAGCCTGCTCTGCTCTTTGTTTTCAGGGTAACTTCCCGATTGCAGAGACAGTCACAAGGGGCCCTGAGCTTTTCCTGGAACCTGCAGCAGCTCAGCCCAGAAATAGTAGCCTACCAACTCCTGGACACACAGGGTTCCCTAGAGTGGGCCCATTCCTATGATTACAACCCGTTTGGTCTGCACAGCCATTTCTGCACTGTGCCCACATCACACCAGACCAAGGAAACAGTCGTGACCAGTGTGTACTTCCGTACCAGCCAGAGGATATCAGAGAGAGGGACCGGAAGACTGGATTTCTCAAACAGGACCTTGATTTTCAGAACAAGCAGGACAAGCTCAATTTCCATAAGACTCAACCCACAGGAAAACACAATCAGCACTTATATTTTTAGCCGGGCCCAAGGCCTCTACTATTCCACCCAAAAAGGCAACTTGACCAATGGCCTTACTGAGAACTCCAGCCTCTGCTATGTATTTTATCAGCAAGCAGGCCTCTCTTACCTGATTACGGTTAAATTCATGCGGCTACAGTTATTTAGATTCAGCCTGGATCTATATCTGAATCGGAAAGGGGCTCTCTTCCAATCTCTAGAGGAAAAGGAGATGGACATTTATGTCTTCAACAGCACTTCCTCTGAAAATAGCTTGTCCTATATTGTATGGTTCATCCCTGTGCAGCATCCCCTTCTGCAGTGTGAATGGGCCTTCAATCTGCACATTTTTGATTCCGTGGGCGGACGTCTGGTGAAAAACTACAGTTTTGCCTACAATGATCAGACCCGAAATGCAGCTCATTTCCTTCCTGACTCTGCCTTACCTTTCCATCCTGTCTCGTATGCGGGATTTGTTGCCAGAGTGAAATGCACAAAGAGTGCAAAAATTCCTATAGTATTCACGGCCAGGTTTAATATTTATGCGTTGAAAGTCATAGAATCCCAAATCGCTTGCCAGCAAAAAACTTGCACCATTCCAAAAGTTAGGATCCACCGGGCGGTTAATACCAAACACATCCTGCATTACGCACAGGGGACTGGATTTACACTTGCAGCAGACATGCGGGTCAGTTGTCCAGGCCCCAAAGCAACTAAAGTCAGTTGGAACATCTATAAAGTCTCTAATCTGTCAAAGAGACCAGACTGGTCCAAACCTTTTAATCCACCTGGCATTGAAGGAAGACATTTCATCAGGTTAAAAATCCCTTGCTCCAGCTTGGATAATGGCTTGTATCTTTTTAATTTTACTGTGCAATTAATTTCATCCACTTTACCCCAGAAGATAGAGCGCTCAGATGCAGTGTTGATAGAGGTTGGGTCAGATCGTTGGGGCGCTGTCATTACGGGAGGCCACTTTCGGTCCGTTGGATTTTCTGATCGGTGGATTCTAAAAGGATCCGTCCTGTCCAATGGTGAGCTAGTCAGTCTGTCTCAGGGACTATCCTGTACTTGGTATTGCACCAAACAGGAAACAGACTATACATCGATGACTCTCAGCAGAGATGGGAAATGTTATCCAGATCAGGTGGATTTGAAGTGGACCATATCCTCTGATTCAATTCAGGTGATACTTCCTGAAACTCTTCAAGCCAATAATACATACCATTTTCTCCTGGTAGTTCAAAATGGTAGTTGGATAGCTCATGCTCAGCAAACTGTATATGTGCTGGCTCCTGGTGCCCTCATTCTCAACATTGCATGCATTGAAAATTGTGGAACTTCAGTAATTCCAACAGAAAGATTTTCTCTGTCTGGCAAATGTGAGAACTGCAGGGAAATCGAATCGTGGTATTATTGGTCACTGCGCTCATCCCAGTCCCATGAAATCAAATTTGACTGGTCTTCCAGAACAACTACTGGAAGATTCAGCTCATATTTACATTTCAAAGTCTTTGCTTTGGTCTCCATGGCAGAAGAGTCCTATATTTTGAGCCTAAAAGTCATCACCAAAGATGGACTGTCCTCTAGCTGTGACTATTCTTTTTATGTTAATGCTCCACCACAGATAGGAAAATGTGTCCTTAATCCAAGAAAAGGAGTAGCTTTTCTAACAAAATTCATTATCTGGTGCCATGGTTTTGAAGACAGAAATCAGCCTCTTGTATACAAAATAATAGCAGGGTCAGATCAAATGACAATTAGTTCAATATCCTCAATTCAAAATAATACTTTGGGGATAATCATCTATGCTGGACATGAATCCCAAACTCCCTGGTTTTTCCTTCCTCCTGGTAGACCATCACATAACTTTGCTTTGACTATATATGTTCAAGTTTTCAATACCCTTGGTGCATCTTCTCAAGTCACTTTGCAAGCAACGGTGCTTGATCAAAGACAACCAACAACCAATGCTGTCCGCCATCAACAACTACCTGATTTGATTAATAGATCAAATGCCCTTATGACCAAGTTGCTCATCACCAAGGATTACCTGAGTATAGGGTATATCATATACATGGCGGCCTTGGCCTTAAACAATATTGAAGCTTCACCCTCCAATCAGGTTCCTAAAGCAGATTTGCGTCAACACCTCCTCAATATAACCACAAGGATTCCTAGCTCTGGTATTGGGGAAATCAATCAGGCAGTCCTAAGTATTTGTCAAGTAACATATGAAATTGCTGAAGTCAATAAAGTATCCCAGCTGCTTGCAGTAAGAAAATTAAAAACAGTCAGCCAAGGTCTGAAAAGACACAGGAATCAAGACTTGGGCTCAAAGGAAACGGAGATTCTTAGCAACGGGATTCTGACAGGATTGTCCAATATCTTGGATGCTTCCCTCTTGAATTACAGAAATCCTAATGTGGATGCCATTAAAGAAGCTATTTCTGTGACTGAAATATTAGCAGATCTCATTTTACAAGGCAAAGTCCCTGGTGGGCATGAAACTAAAATGGCCACCCGACACTGGTCCATTCACCTCTGGAAAGACAAAACATGGGATGTTTCTGGAACTTTCTCAAACAGGAAGCAATGTAGGAGCTGCTTTTATCCAAAACTGAAGCAGGGGTCTCATGTGGACTTAGAAGAAGATAATGTTGTTTCCACCATTCTATATGAATTTGAACAGAATCCTTTTCCTTGGCTGACTTTTGCTGATAATATTGGCACAATGGTAACGGGGTTCAAGATGGTAGGAACCGATTCTAAAGGGAACCTAACCACCATCATTCCTGATGTGTTTGAAATTATCTTGACTAGGAAAGACAAGGCCATCTTCGAGGTGACTATGGGGCAAGATAAAAAACTTCCTAAAACAACAGGCGGCTTCAGCTTGGAAATTAAAAGAAACTCCAGTGATATTTTTATCCAACTTGTGCCCAAAGTGAAAGTTACTTTCCAGGTATTTATCTACCTAGGCATCAATCTGAGCCACCCCCCCTTAGTTTTATATAATGCTTCTCATTTAAGTCCTCCAACAATTATCCAAAAGGATACAATTATCGCTGGATGTGCTCTCCAAGTTCCATATCTCCTTTGCCTTCCAAAGTCATTGCTTTCCTCTCCAGCCTATAACAGGGGAGTAGACACGCTCAACCTTTCTATTGTCTTTCAGTCACACCCTATTGTGAGATACCAAACTGCAAAGTTTCTTCGCATCGCTGTCTTTGGAGCAGGCTGTTTGGCTCTTGAAGGCATTCAAGATCAGTGGAAAGAAGAAACCTGCAGCCTTGGATCTCAAACCAGCTGGTCAAAAATCCACTGTGTCTGCAAAACAAAAAAACAGGCCACAAAATCAACTAGATCTGTTTCAAGAGGGCCTTCAGAACCCGGAATCCGATTTTTGGCTGGGAAGTTACTACTATTTCCCAATCAAGTTGACATGAAAGAGTACCTTTTAGAACCAATGGGACAGAATCCTGTCCCGGGGTTGATTGTGCTTGCTATTTTCCTAATCTACATTTCTTTGGCTGTCTGGGTGAGAAGAAAAGATAGAAGTGATATTGAAGAGCAGATTATAGATTTGCCAGATAATGACCCCTTTCACACCATGAGATACCTAGTGACCATCTATACCGGGAGTCGCCCAAGTGCAGGGACCAAAGCAGATGTCTTCATTGAACTGATTGGCCAGAATGGATCAAGCGATGTGCATGTCTTAAAGCACCCATCATTTCCAGAGATCCTTAAGAACACCTGCATCGATACTTTTATGCTAACTACCAGGGAAGATTTGGGAGACCTCCTCTCTATCCACATCTGGCACAATTATTGTGGCTTTGGGCCTAACTGGTACTTGAGCCGAATCAAAGTCCTCAATGTAGACACAAACAAGTCGTGGCTGTTTTTGTGTAGAAAATGGTTGGCCCTTGGCAGGCGTCACTACCAAATAGAATGGACTTTTGAGGTCACTGATCCACAAGTCCCCATCAGCAGAATTGATTATGTGTTGATAATGTTTAGCTATCACTGGGTCCAAGACCACCTCTGGTTCTCTATCTTTGTTCGCAGCCTTGACAGCTCTTGGAACAGATTCCAGAGGCTCTCCTGCTGCTTAGTGATACTTTTGACCTCCCTGCTGGTCAACACAGTCATTTTCAACAGTAAGAAAGAAGAACAGGTTTTCCTCCTAGAACTGCAGTATTTGAAATCCGTAACAGCGGGCGTTCTCAGTGCTCTCATCTCCACTCCTGTGGAATGGATTGCAGTGGGCTTGTTTAAATACTCCATGAAGGGGTCCTCTTCCCAGTGTAACATCACCAAGGGCCAGGGAAAGGAAAGCTTTACTTGCGCGCCTGAAAGCCCTCCTAATGCAGGTACCCAACTTTCAGAGATAAAATCACAGCAGTTTTCAGCTGCAGATATCAATTTTAGTAACAATTATGCAACAGACAAGAAAGCAACTTTGGGCAAAACTCAGAAATCGCAATGGCACAGATGCTTGTCTTGCAGTGCATGGTTCTTTGTCTTCTTTATATCTGGGGTGGCATCATTTTTCATCACGTTCATTGGCCTGTCTTTTGACAACAAAACATCCACCGAATGGCTACTAGCCTCTCTGATATCGTTCTGTCTCCACGTCAGCTTCTTTGAGACCATACAAATCGTTATTTTCTCCGGCTGGAATATCTGTTTGGCAAAATACTGTGCAGACATCCCATGGCAAAGCTATCAATATATGACGTACAAACCAAGAACGATGGAAGCTGACGAGATGGTGAAGTTGCACGACGACCTGGTTGAACTGAGAGCTTCCAAGAATTACCAACCCATCAAAGAAGAAGACGTTACAGCCTTGCAAAAGAAGAAGATGATCCAATATTTAGCTTACAAGTATGTGAAAGACATGATCTGCCATTTTATCTTCTTGGCTTTAATTTTCACAATCTCTCACCCAATCGACGTTACTACTGCCTTCTTTTACAATCGAGCCATGTCTAGGAAATTTTCTCCTAATTTGCCCAACTTGAATGGAGCACAGGATGTTTACAAATGGGTAAACAATAACTTTCTGCCGCTGATACACAATCCCGATCACCCAAGCTATCTTACGAATACCTGGTCCAAAATCCTGGGATTGCCCAGAATGAGGCAAATAAGAAGGAAATCTGCAGACAGGTGTGTACTTCCCCATGAAGTGAAAAACATATTTTTGTTGCATGATGTTCACTGCAAGAACAAATATGGATTTAGCCAGGAAGATCAAAGTAACTACATGGGCTCGTGGTCAACTCCTACCGACACCTCAGTTCCCAAGAACCATGCTGAATTTTTAGGCTTCAGTTATGAGCCGAGTAGTACCCATTGGGACTACATCACCGAGGGACAATTAAATGAATATCCTTCCAGGGGATATACTTTTTATTTTTTCCCCGAAGAACCACAAGTGAATTCAACAAAAAGGCTGGAAGCTTTGGAAACTAAAAGCTGGATTGACAACAAAACGTGGGCCATGATTTTAGAACTAACAACTTTTAACGTTGATGAGCATATGTTCTGCAGCATTTCTGTCATTTTTGAACTTTCTTTATTTGGCCCTGTAAATGCCAGCATCTCTCTGCATTCTTACAAGCTCCCGTTTTTCACACATCAAAGCGTGAGCCAAATTTTCTTCTTTTGTCTAACAATATACTTCCTCATTATTTATATTGCTGATGAATGTCGCATGGTGTACCAAGAACGACTGAGATATTTTACCCTTGCGACCAACCTGATCAACTTTGGGATAAAGACAGTTTGCATCTTCTTTCTGGTGGTGCTTTTGTGCAAATTCAAGCTTTCTTCTGACTTGGTGCAATTTTACTTACTCCATTCCGAAGAGTTTATTCCATTCCATATGGCTTCCCAATTTGACCAGACAGTCAGAGGTGTCCTGGGGATCTTGCTTTTTTTCCTGGTTCTGAAAACGTATCGCTATGTCAGATTTCTGTTTGATTTACGCTTAGCCCAAAAATCCCTCAGAACAGCCCTCCCTGGTATCATCAATATAGTTGTAATGGGTGGCATATTTTTCAATGCATACACGGCACTTGGATATGTGGGATTTGGCCAACATGAATGGAATTTCCGTAGCATGATGTATTCCTTCACGACGGTGTTGTCTTATTGCGCCTTAACATTTAAGAACACTGAATTTTTGTCTGACAAATTTCTAGGGGGTCTTTTTTTAGGATCCTTTCTTTTGGTGATGATCTGCATTTTTGTCAATTTAAGTCAAGTCGTCATCATATCAGCTCACCTGGACATGAAGGAAGTTGTTTACAATGAGCCTTCCAATGAAGCAGAGGTCATGTATTTTATACTACAGAAGGTGTACAGAATGTGGTATTTTGCTCGCACTGGTACCTACACAACAGCAGAGACCGATGTTTTTAACACTGTACTGTATGGGAAATTTAAGAAACGTAGAAAACCACCCTTGGGAAAACACTTGAGAAGGAACGAAAGACTTTATGTTCTTATTTGAGGAAAACAATCAGAAGCATGTGTTAATTTATTTCCTTGGGCTATTCCTTTGGATCATTCTGAATTCCCAAACCATCTTCTACTATCCCAGATAGTCTTCCGCTGCTTTGATTTAAAATGGCCATTATGTGTTATTCAGGAAGCCCTGTAGCAGTTCAGTTCCTAGCTCTGGGCTAGTGACCAATCTGATTTTCATCAGTACAAAGACTGAATGACAGAGGTTAGTGGTGAAGTCCTTTCTGGGGAGATATTTAGCTTCCTCAAAATCTGTCCAGAACGAGGACTTCAGACAGTAATTATGATCTGACCAACTCATCCAAACACATTGAGCTAAGCAGAAAAAAAACCACAAGAAGGTTTACAATGCAGAAACGAGAAAACCCAAGCACATTTTTGGTCACTAGGTCCTTCACAATCCATGCTCTACCCTGTTTGGAAGGTCAACACAGTGGTGGAAAGTTCTCCACTTCACAATCAGCTACTACAGAGAACCAAGACACCACTACACGATGCCCTATATCAGAGGTGTCCAAACTTGGCAACTTTAAGACTTGTGGACTTCAACTCCCAGAATTCCTCAGCTGAGGAATAGCTGAGGAATTCTGGGAGTTGAAGTCCACAAGTCTTAAAGTTGCCATGTTTGGGGACTCCTGTCCTATAGAATGTTCAGAAACATTGGATACCCAGAGAGTAGAAATGTTTGCAAGGGGGAGGGGCTGCAGAGGAGATGGGAGATATAGGGACAAGAAATTCAAGATGGTGGCTGTGACTATCTGATTGACACCTGGCCCCTTTTAATGTACTTCCTGCCTGTGAGGTATGTAAAAGAAAAGAAAAGCTTCAACTCACAGCTTCTCATTTAGGCTTTTGATCCCCTGTCCTACTAATATCCCCCCCAGATGTTTATATCTTTTGTGGGATGAGATTCCTAGAAATGCTATGCAGTTGGGGTATTTCCTTACTGAAATCTTGAACTTTTTCCTCCTGGTTCCTATCTTTCCTTTCTTTATCCACAGCTTCTTATTTTAGGAGACATTTTTAGGATTGCGACTTTTTTTGCACTTTTTATATGATATATGAAAAAGTGAACTGAAAGTTCTTTTTTAATCAGTCACTTGTAAGCATTTCTCTGTGTTAAAACTTTCCTGTTTATCTCAATAAATACTGCAGTTTTGTTCAGTTAGTCTTTCTTTGATATGAACATTGCCTGTCCTTATTATACCTTTCTGGAATGTTTCTAATTCAATTTGATTTCTATCTCCCTCTTCAATTTGGAATAGCAATAGCATTTAGCACTCAGACTTATACACCGCTTCACAGTGCTTTACAGCCCTCTGTTCTGACCTAGGCTTCCTTAGAAAGCATAAAGCACAATCTTACTCCTCGCAAAGCCTCGGCTTATTTCCACGGCTGTGAATTAACGTTCATTCACAAATAGTCTTTCTGGGGAACGTTTATAAACACCCACCATATCGCACTTGGAATCCTGCCAGAGAACTAATTGCCAAACGCAGGGCAAGACCAAACTTGACACAGAGTCAAACACAACTTTTCAAAACTTGAATCGACCAGACAACCTAACTGCTTCCTGCAAAAGGTCACGTCCTGTTCGCTCTTTTATGCCCTATGGGAGGGGCCAATCATCTTGAAGGTGTGGCCTTACTCCTGAGTCGACCTTGTTTTCTCAGTTGTTCTTGTCTTCTGGTAGTTCTGCGCATGCGCAGGCTGGAAACCAGTTCCAGAAACTTCCCTGCCTCACTGTTGTCTAAGTCTGAAGGCAACTGGTGACTGCCAGCCTGCCCTGGCCCCATCCCTGCCTCCGATGCAGAGCCCTCATCCGAGCCCTCCTCAGCCTCCAAAGCTAGCCCAGGTTCCTTCCCAACTTCCTCACTACTGTCTGACTCTGCTGCCAGCTCTGTCAGCTGCCAGCAGGCCACAACTCCCCCTTTAAGCAGTTTGTAAACTTTGTAATCAGTCTATTGTCCCCAACAATCTGGGTCCCCATCTTACCTACCTCAGAAGGATGGAAGGCTCAGTCAACCTTCAGCCAGTGAGTATCAAATTTAAGAACTTAAAAAGTATCATCATAATCTAGCTTACTGACATAAAGCACATGATGATGATCTTGATCTGGATGATAATAATAATTTCAACAATAAAAAATTCTTGTCACTCTCTCAGCACATTGGGAAAAATTCTGACCCGGGTCCTGAGGAATTCCTGCCCCTTAGAGTGGTGTTTCTTCACCTTGGCCACTTTCAGATATGTGGACTTCAACTCCCAGAATTCTCCAGCCAGCACTTTTACGTCCACACATCTTAAAGTGGCCAAGGTTGAGAAACGCTGACATAAGAGCATGTGGAAGGGTGGTCAGAATTACAACCCAACAGAACTCCAACAGAGGTTGCCCAGTTGCCAAGTTCTAGAATCCCCACAGTCATTCCATCTTCAGCAGTTAAGGCTGTTTGATCCAAACCTAGCCAGATGCATTTCTTCTTCATGTTCAGGGTTTGCTTCCCATGGGCGGTCATCATGCCCCTTTCCTTTTGCCTGCCTCCATCACTGGTGATATCTAACCACACCTATGGGCAGGAAGAAGGCAAACCTCACACCTCGTCTGCATGGAACACTAACTGTGAGAATGGTTCATTCAGAGTTGTAGAGCTTCTTTCGAGAACTTGGAAGTTTCTCCAGCATCATTGGGTTTGGAGATCCATTCTGAGGCATAGCATGCTTCTGTGCCCAGGACATGTGGCGCTGGAACTAGTCTTTGAAGAACGGGACTTCCATCCTTCTCCAACCTCCATTCATATCACAATCCAGGGTGTCTCCTGTTCCTGCAGTGTGCCTAGTCATCTTCACCAACATCTGAGAATTAAGTTGCATCGCCAAGATGTCTCTCTGTTCCTGCTCTGGCCATCCACATTCCCCAAACATGACTGGAAACAAATGTGGCTAAGCTGCTGGGCATGCCTTGATAAAGCAAGATGGTGCCATCATTGCATTTATAGATGGGGTGGCCCTCCAGCCCTTTTCCTTCCCACCAGCCATCATCCATATTCTTCACCATGCAACCACTACTGTGATGGTCGGCTGCCTCACAGGTGCTCCTCTCATTTCAGGCATTGTCAAATGGTGCACTACACTCACCAAGGACTATGCTTTCCTTCCTTCCATGTCAAGCAAGGCCCTTTGGTCAGTTTGGACATGCAGGTGGAACCCATCATATTACATCTTTACAGTGCCCATTCCACATTACTCCGCATCCCTCATAGGACTATCCGTCTATTCTGGAATGTCTCTTCAGCCAAGTCCCAACGAAAGACCTACAGCCTGGTGGATGCTCACAGCAGATGGTTCTGGTCTACCACATACAATCCATATGCTTTACGGAACAATTATTCCATTGCTCCTAGTCCACCATCTTTTGGAAACAAAATTGTGGCTCATTTCTCTTTGGTTCTTGAAGAGGCAGAATCTGGGGATTTGAGTGGGGCATTAGATTTCTCAGGTGCCATATTAAGTCTTAGGACTAGGAATCAGCCTCTGGCTTATCTTACTGTCAACTCATGGAAAAACAAGGCAGGCATCTATTTTTTTACTGACAGACGGGGTTTCTCCTATCTTATCAAAGGCTCTTCTAGTGACTTGGACATTCCTTCCAGCGCTTACTACCTTTTTTACCAACAGCAAAGTCTCTCTTACTTGATCACCATTGAATTTGTCCACCAGTGCTGGTACAGGCTCAGCCTCCATCTGTATCTTAACAGAAAAGGAGTCCGTTTGAAGTCTTATTCAGAGAAAGATGTAGAAATTCACATTTTCAACAGTGGCCCTTCATTTGTGCCAAGTTCGGTCTATATTGCTTGGTTTATTCCACTGCAGAACCCATTACTCCAGCACAAGTGGACCTTCCATCTACAATGTTTGGGTGTAGAGAAGGGAGATCTTCTCTGGAATGCTACTTACAGTTACAGAGATCGTGTCAAAAACGCTGCCCGTTTTATATCTGATCTTCCTTTTAACCCTGCTTTATATGCAGGCTTCATAGCGCAAGTCAATTGCACACAAATCGGCCAAATACGTATCATTTTAGAAACCAACGTCAGTACTTATACTTCAAAGATCCTGAAGTCCACAGTGGATTGCCTTCAAAGACTTTGTTTCCTTAAAAAAGTAAAAATCCGGGAGTCTCATTATACTAATCCTCGATTAAGCTATAGTAAAAAGGTCTCATTCAACCTCTCAGCTCATGTTGAGGTGAATTGTCCAGAACCAAAGCAAACACATATAATTTGGAGAATCTATAAAGTTCCAGATATGAAGACTGGTCCCGACTGGTCAAAACCTTTGAACCCTCCTGGAGTTGGGAAAAAAGATATTTTAATCTTAAACATTCCTGCTGATAGCCTAGATGAAGGCTTGTATTTATTTAATTTGACCATATCATTAATCACAATGGACACTTTAGAGAAAGTAGAGGACTCTGATTCTGTGTTTGTCAGGATTAGGTCCAACAGACTTTGGGCGGTCATTGCTGGAGGTGATTTGCAGATGGTTGGATTTTCTGACCGATGGATTCTGAATGGATCTGCCTCTTCTGATCCAGATGCCTCGCAACCTTTTGAAGGCCTCACCTTCACTTGGTACTGCTCCAGACGAAAAGCAGACTATACTTCCATGACTTTGAGCAAGACTGGGAAGTGTCATCCAGATCAGGCAGACTTGAAATGGACTGCTTCTTCAGAACCAGTGCAAACTGTTCTACCTAGAACACTTCAAGAAAATGCCACGTATTATTTTCTTCTGGTGGTTCATAAAGGAGAGAGACAGGGTCAGGCTGGGCAACGGGTCCAGGTGCAGCCTGACGCTTGGCTAGCACTGAACGTCACCTGCATTGAGAACTGTGGAAGGTCCGTGATTCCCACAGAAAGATTTTGCCTTTTTGGCAAATGCCTAAATTGTCAAAGGTTTAATAGGCCTCGGTTTCACTGGTCACTTTTTTCAGGAAACTCCTCTGAGCTCCAGTTTGACTGGGCCTCCAGAACTTCAACAGGGAGAACTAATCCATACCTCTGTATGAAACCATTGAGTTTGATGCATATGGCAGAAGACTTTAGACTTGTATTAAAAGTGAGCCTGGAGGGACGTGAACCATTGGGCTATAACTATCAATTTGTTGTAAATATACCTCCAGCACTTGGAAAGTGCCGCCTTAACCCTCCCACAGGAATAGCTTTTCTAACAAAATTCTCTGTGCACTGTAGTGGTTTTAGAGATCAACATTTGCCTCTTACCTATAAGGTCAAAGTGGCATTAGATTCAATGGAAATGTCTACTAAAAGAAACAGTACCTTGGGCACCATTGTCTATTTTGGTGATCAATCCAAAAGTCCACCATCTTTTTTACCCAATGGTGTACCTTCTAAGCAATATCTCTTGAACTTATATGTCCAAGTATATGACGATCTTGGTGCTTATTCCCAAATTACACTACTCACCACAGTGCACAGCCCACTGAAAGCCAAGGAACCAGAGGCTGTGTTAAAGGAATTGCATAGCTTAACCGGTGGAACATCGGCTCCCATCCCATATTTTCTCAACAGTGGAAATTATTTTAGTGCAGGATATTTTGTCCACATGGTGGCTTCTGCTTTAAATGACCTAGAAGGGCTTCCAGGGCTTCACTCCTCAAAGACCAAACTGCGTGAAATTCTTTTAAACCATTTGGCTGGGATTCCAACAACAAATATAATGGAGGCAAGTCACGTGATCTCAAGTATTTTGCAGATAACCCAAGAAATTGGGGAAATCAACAGGAAATCACAGCTTCTTGCAGTCCAAAAGCTCAAGGACGTGACTGATGGGTTGAGAAGACATAACAGAGAAAATGGAAGTTCTAAGGAAATCTATGATCTTGGAACTGCTATTCTTGCGGGGTTATCCAATATTCTGAAAGCTTCTCTGTTAAAAAACCCACAAAGCCACAGACTCATGGCTGAGGAAATCATGTCTGTCACTGACATGTTAGTAGACCTCCTTTTAGAAGGCAAAGTCCCAGGAGAACATGCAACCATCGTAGGAGCTGATGACTGGACCATCACGTTAAAGAAAGAAGAAAAGTGGGATATTTCTGAACCTTTTGCTAAGAGAAGAGACTGCCAAAACTGTTTCTATCCCAAAATGAAGCAGGTGGAATATGACCAGTTGCCTGATGATGCAGTAATATCTACGGTACTTTATGACTTTGACAAGAATCCATTTTTCTGGTTGCCCTCTTCAGACGACATAAGCACCAGGGTGGCAGGGTTCAAAATGGCAGGAATTAAATCTAATGGTGATGTGATTGAAATTGTGCCTGATGTGGCTGAAATGATCCTGACCAGAAATGAGGAAAAGACAGCTGTATTTGAGATGACGGTGGAACGCAACCAAAACTTTCCTGGAGCTTCTGGAGGATTCAGTTTCGAAGTCTGTAGAAACTCCAAAGACATCTTAATCCAGATAGTGACAAAACTAAAACTCACTTTCCAGGTTTTTATATATGTAGGTCTCAAGCTTAGTCATCCTCCCTTAGCTATTTTTAATGTTTCCTACAATAAGCCAGCGATCTCAAAGACTAAGAATTCCACAGGGAATGATTGTCTATTTCAGATGCCTTACATTTTTTGCCTTTCGCAGACGTTACTCAAATCCATATTCCGAGGTAGCAAATCTGAAAAACAAAACATTTCCATTGTTCTCCAATCTGACCACTTTCTGGGGGACCACAACTCGCAGAGACTTGGCCTCGCGCTGTTTACAGCGGACTGCTTGTATCTGGATGATGCCCAAACACTTTGGAGACAAGATAAGTGTCACCTCGGACCTCAGACTACATGGCGAAAGCTACACTGCATCTGTGCAGGCAAAAGACGCACTGCAAGGACTGTTGACCAACCAACAAGAGGAACCTCCATGGGAAATGTCACATTTTTAGCAGGGAAGGTAACCATCCATCCGAATCCAGCAGAGATGAGGAAGATCCAGTTGGCTCAAATCCAGAAAAACCCAGTGATAATCTTGACTGTCGTTTTCATTTTTCTTATATATATCTTCTTGGCTATTTGGGCAATGAGAAAAGATAAGGTTGATGTAGAAAGCCGAGCCCACACCATTGTCTTGCCTGACAACGATCCCTTTGATAAAGTTTGCTACTTGGTTACCATCTATACAGGCAGCCGCATTGGGGCAGGAACAACAGCCACTGTTTTCATCCAATTGATCGGGGACCAAGCAGTCAGTGACGTCCATTGCTTGAGCCATCCTGAACATGTGCCTTTCCTCCGTGGGTCCATCAATACCTTCCTCCTGACCACTAAGAATGACCTGGGAGATATTTATTGCCTTCAAGCTTGGCATGATAATGGCGGCTCTTCCCCTAGCTGGTTCCTGAGTAGAGTCAAGGTGGAAAATATGTACACCAAACAGTCTTGGATGTTCATATGCCAAAAATGGCTTGCTCTGGATAAGGACAATGGCCTGATTGAGAGGGTGTTTATTGTGGTCCAGCCACTGGCCACTTTAAACAAAATGGATTTTTTCCTCATCAGCTTTGCCAAGGACCTTGCAGACAACCACTTATGGTTCTCCCCTTTTGCCCACGTGTGCACTGGTTCTTTCAACAGACTTCAGAGGCTGTCTTGTTGTTTAGCCACTCTCTTCTGCATCCTGCTAATCAACATGTTGTTCTTCAAGATTGACGTGGATCAGCAGATGTATCCAGGACAACTGCAGTATCTGAGGTTTCTAATCATCGGCATTCAGAGTGCTTTCATTTCGATCCCTTTGCAGATGATTATAACCGTTCTGTTCAAATATTCGCAGAAGGAGCCCTCTGATGAGAAGGCCACTGAAACACAGCAAAAAGTATGTTCCAATTTAACAACTGGAAATCTGAGGAACTGGAAAGAACTCTTGCGGAAATGTTACCTTCTAGAAACTGCTTCGAAATCCCCAGGGCCTGGTTTTCCAGACAGCAGCTTTGCTGCTGCTTCCAATCCCCAAAACCTGACAGAACATAAAAACATTAGGTGGCGGCAGACAGCAAAAACCCGATACAACTGCACGATTCCAGAGGGGGATGCCAATATAATTTCAACAGAGGAAGAGGCTTCGCAAGTTGGCTATACCAACATCAATTTTAACAATAATTCCATGGAGAAGGAGGCAGACCACCAAACAAGGCCACTGAATACTCCCAGCATGCTTTTCTTCAAAAGGCCCCAGATCGTATCTTGGTGGAACAAATATGCTTCATGGATTCTGGTCTTGGTTATTTCTGCCTCATCCTCTTTTTCTATCATATTATATGGAACATCTCAGGACTACAAAACCTCTTTAGAGTGGTTGGCGGCCTCGGCCATCTCGCTCCTTGTCAGTATGGTCTTCCTTCAAACCCTGAACATCCTTTTTTTTTCAGCCTTAAAATCGCTTCATCCCAATTCCTGCAAAAACATTCCATGGTCAATCAAAGAAAGTTTCCTAGAGATTAAACTGAATGAACCACGTATGAATGCTGACGACATGCGAGAACTGCATTACGATCTTGTAAGAATGAGAGGCAGCAAGCAATACCAGCCTTTGGAAGAAGACGAGATCACCATTTTTAAGAAAAGGGAGAAGATCCGACATCAAGCCTTTGTTTTCCTGAAGGACGTCCTATGCCACTTTGTCTTTTTAATCCTTATTTTGAACATTGCCTACTCCATGGAAAATACCACGAGTTTTTACTACAATCAAGATATGAACTCAAAATTGTCGAAGGAGCTTTTTGAAGTTGGTAAAATAAAGGAGATTTATCTCTGGTTGAGAGAAGTCTTTTTGCAATTGATTCACAACCCCCTGAAGCCAACCTTTCTCCCAGACACCTGGTCCAAAATCCTGGGTTTACCCAAAATGCGGCAGATAAGAGCACAGCATAGTGAAAAAGAATGCTTCTATCCGCACAGTTTTGTAAATAAATTTGTGATTAGTAAAAGCCATTGTCTTCACAAATATGGTGTTGATGAAGAAGATCGTAAGAACTATCTCGGGTCATGGAAAAACCCAGTTAACGAATCTGTGGTGAATCATTTGGGCAATTTCACAGGCTTCACTTATCACAAAGTCCGAGACCCCTGGAGATACAATTCCTACGGAGAGCGAAATGTGTACGAAGCAGGAGGATATACATTCAATTTTTATCCCAAGGAGACTCTCTCTGAATCAGTGAAAAGAATGGCATCTTTGGAAGAAAACAGCTGGCTCGATGAAAATACTTGGGCACTAATCGTCGAGATGACAACTTTTAACTTTGATACGAACTTATTTTGCAGCATATCGGTGATCTTTGAAGTTTCTCACTTAGGCCCTATTAACACAACTTTGTGGATCCACTCCTATAAACTCCCCATTTTCAAGCAGCTGGACCGAAGGGAAAAGTTTGTTTTCATCCTGGTGGGCTACATGCTAGTTTTTTACATCATCGACGAGTTTTGCGTAGTGGAGCAACAGAGGCTCAGCTACCTAAAAAGTGTTTCTAATTTAATTAATTTTGGCATCAAGGCAGTGTGTTGTTTTTTCCTCCTGCAACTTGCATTCAAGTTCAAACTGGCTTCTAGCCTAATTGAGCTCTATCTTCATCAACCGAACCAATACATCCCTTTCCATAAAGTTTCTTTTGTCGATAAAACTTTGAGGATCACTCTAGGGTTTTTGGCCTTTCTGATCATCCTGAAAACTCTCAGGTACTCTCGTTTCTTTTACGACGTGCGCCTGGCCCAGAGGTCCATTTTGGCCGCCCTGCCGGGTATCTGCTCCATGGCTTTAGTGGTGGCAGTCTACTTCTTCGTCTACATGGCCTTTGGCTACCTTGTCTTTGGCCAATACGAATGGAACTACAATACGATGACCCATTCAGCACAGACCATCTTCTCCTACTGTGTTTCAGCCTTTAAAGACACGGCCTTCAGATCCAACCGTGCTCTGGGAGGGCTTTTCCTGGCCTCCTTCATGATGGTGATGATTTGCGTTTTGATCAATTTATTCCAAGCAGTGATTATGTCGGCCTATGAGGACATGAAGCAGCCAGTTTACGAAGAGCCTTCCGATGAAGCCGAGGTGGTTAATTTTCTCTTCCATAAAATCCGCCAAATATGGGCTCTCATCACCTTCAGGAAGGTATCAACGACAGATACGGAACTTTTTAATCGGGTCCTTTTTGGGCTTCCTGAGCGCAAAAACATGCATCATCTTGGACTCAAAGCCCGGAAAATAAATGGGAAGAAAATGGTGTATCTTGTCATTTGAGTGCTGTTTCCCCCCCCCCCCCAAAAAAAAAAAAAGGAAAAAAGAAGTGACGACAAACGAGTTGCTCAAAGCAGGACTCAAATTTCTAAAATCCTTTTTTCCTAAAATCTCCTCAGCCTAGACTCTCTTATTCACAGCACAATTTTCTGGAATAATTATTCTTTAATTATTGGCAACCGTGCATACAGCCAATCGTGAGGAAAAACACGAATATACCTTACCCTGATTTCTTCCATTTTCATGCCTGCTGGACTTTATCATCTTGGCTATGGAGAAACAAAGACTTTTATGTAATTATTTTAAAACCTCTGTATTTATTTCAGAGCGCACTTTTTTTTAAATGCAAGCTCCTTTCTTTATTCCTCACGGAAGCCAGTGGCTGAACTGTCTCAAGCATCTTTCTTAGACAGGAAGAATCGAAGTCAAATTAAAGCAAGAAATATTAATCTTTTTTTTTAAAGGTTTCAGAGGGAATCTCACAAACATTAGAGCACCTTAAACTGCCAAAGAATGATCACCTTCAAGATTAAATAATATTTTAAGTCTTTTTTGGATTGTCCTGTTTTCATCTTTAACGTTTTCAAAGCTGCTACACTATGTTCTGCCTTAGGAATTAGCACAATAAAGTATTGGCATCCATTAGGGGTGTCTACAAGTTGGATAATAAATGATAAATAATCCGAGTGCGCAAGTGTGTGTGTGTGCACAGGTGTGTACAGATAATACCCTTTCATTTAGCGACCATTTGAACTTACAATGGCACTGAAAAAATGATATATGACCGTTTTCACACTTATGACCATGTGTGTTTTGTGTGTGTGTGTGTGTGTGTGTGTGTGTGTATTAAAAATGTCCTTTTCTCACATGCTGACACATCCCTACAAATCTTCTTGCCAGCACAGTGGACATAGCTCGCCACACCCCACTTCATCAATTCTTTTCCAAGTTCGCCGGGCTCACTCAATCCTGTCCTGGGATTACCTGGTGGTCATCCATCCGAGGTAACCTCTGCAGGTTCAGCCCTGCCCCGGGCTAATGCTGCTTCCTCGGGGAGTCTCAGCAGGTGGACAAGTGGCCCTTGGCTGGGTAGGCAGAGTCTTGCCTTATCCCCTGAATTCATGGAGAAACCAAAATGATTGATTTGCACGGGATTTCCTTCCAGCAAGTCTATTTAATTGGGCATCATCATCACACTGGACAACCACCTGTCTGAAATGGTATGGGGTCTCCTGCTTGAGCAAGGGGTTGGACTAGAAGACCTCCAAGATGACTGCATCTGTTAAAATCCATCTGTTAAAATACTGAAGTTTGCTGATGACACAACAGTGATTGGTCTCATTCGAGACAACGATGAATCTGCATACAGACAGGAGGTTATACAACTTGCCTCGTTTTGTAACCGGAACAATCTGGATCTGAACACACTCAAAACCGTAGCAATGGTGGTAGACTTCAGAAGAAACCCTTCCATACTACCACCTCTTACAATACTAGACAACACAGTATCAACAGTAGACAAATTTCTTCAAATTTCTAGGTTCTACTATATCACATGACCTAAAATGGACACCTAACATCAAAAACATCATCAAAAAAGCACAACAAAGAATGTTCTTTCTGCGCCAACTCAGAAAGCTCAAACTGCCCAAGGAGCTGCTGATCCAGTTCGACAGAGTCCAGTTCTATTGAGTCTATCATCTGCACCTCTATAAGTGTCTGGTTTGGTTCTGCAACCCAACAGGACAGACACAGACTTCAGAGGATAATTAGGACTGCAGAAAAAACAATGGCTACCAACCTGCCTTCAATTGAGGACCTGTATACTGCACGAGTCAAAAAGAGGGCTGTGAAAATATTTACAGACCCCTCACATCCCGGACATAAACTGTTTCAACTCCTTCCCTCAAAACAACGCTATAGAGCACTGCACATCAGAACAACTAGATACAAGGACAGTTTTTTCCCAAAGGCCATCACTCGGCTCAACAAGTCCAACTATTTACAAGTTCGCATTACTACACTATAGAGCACCACACACCAGAACTAGACACAAGAATAGTTTATTCCCTAAAGCCATCACTCTGCTAAACAAATAATTCCCTCAACACTGTTCAACTATTTACAAAGTGTACACTGCTATTACTGTTAATCTTCTCACCACTCCTTATCACCCATCCCCTCCCACTTGACTGTTTCCTAGTATGATTTGATTGTTGATTGTACCCTATGACTATCATTAAGTGTTGTGCCTTATGATTCTTGATTCTTAATGAATGTACTTTTTCTTTATGTATACTGAGAGTATTTACACCAAGACAAATTCCTTGTGTGTCCAATCACACTTGGCCAATAAAGAATTCCTATTCTATTCTATTCTGTTCTGTTCTGTTCTGTTCTGTTCAATAAGAATCATCACCACCTCTCTGTCTCTGTCTCCTTTAAGGAGAGGCGGGGCAACGAAGCCGAACGTGCAACGTCACCGTCGTGGGCGCGGCTAGGAAACAGGAAGAAGCTGCTCGAGAGCCCCGCCCCTCCTTCGAACACTTCCCCCCCCCCTCACGCTCGGGAGTTCGATCCTTATGCGCGTGTTTCACGCGTGAACTTAAAAGGTATGTTCCCGTGAAGGCAGCGAAATGGGGGCTCCGGGTCGCTTAGTAAGGAAAATGCAGGGCAGCGTGAATCCGAGCAGGCTTCCAGCATCCAGGGCCTTGCTGCAACGCAGCGGGACTCGGTTGCCTCCTGCAGCCGAAAAGCAGGTGGTTTTATCATGCCGGCCTCCCGGGCGGAATTTACTCTCGAGGAGGAGAAAGCGAGGGAAGCGCAGCAGCCTTGAAATAGATGAAGCTGGGCATTGCCCTCTTGGAGGGGGAGGGGGCGGTGGGGGTTGGTCTGCAATTTCATAGCCCGCCAAGCGAAGTTGTTTTAAACAGATTAACAGAGTTGGAAGGGACCTTGTAGGTCATCTAGTCCAACCCCCTCCCCCCAGCAGGAGATCCTACGTCATTTCTGACAAAGGGCAGTCCAGCTGCACTGAAGTGGGGGTCCTTCCTGGAGGCTTTTGCTCTTCTTTCCTTGACTCTCTTTTGCAGATGGAGCTGCTGGCCAAACCCTCCCTTGCCTCTTTCTAGGGACCCCCCCCCCAAGTCAAGGTGGGGCGGTCCTCAGGCTCTTTCCTCCCTCTTTGGACTTCCTTTATGCTCAGAAACCACTCCCCTGCCTCTCCTCCATCTCAAAGTCAGTGTTGCTTTTCTCCACATTGGGTTTTAGGTGTCCCCCTCATTCAGACAAATTCATTAATCAGATTTATATCCCATCATCATGATCACAAAAACAAGCAAGCACAATTACAGGACATAGGAGTGTTTTATAAATGTAATTTATGTGTGTGTATGTGTATATGTATATAGTATGGAATATATATAGTTTCCATAGATTGTATAGTTTCTATATATTGTCCTTCCCTTTCTTTGTAAATTTCCTATAGGGGCTCAACTTTTTAAAGAATGCTCCAAAGATTTACCCATTTTCAATTATATTTTGAATATATATTTGTATATATATTTGTATATATATGTATGTATGTATATATATATGTGTGTGTGTGTGTGTGTGTGTGTGTGTGTGTGTATAGATAGATAGATGATAGAGAGAGAGAGAGAGAGAGTAAAGTTTTCGCGGGTACTTACATGTATGGCATTCAGCTTTGTTCGGGTATTTTCCCACGTCATAATAGTTGTGCTTTTAAAGTTGTAGCAACGTTTCAGCAGAATCTCATCTGCCATCATCAGGCTTCTGTATTGTGTTCGTCTGTGAGTCAGACTTTTACAGTTGTTGTTGCCAGCCAATCAAGACAAAAAAAAGCCACAAAATAGACAGAAGATATTAGAAACACCAATCAAGCAGAACACAGCAAACTCCAAGACCAATAAACACAGACCAAGACTCCCAACCAATCAGGATGAAGAAAAAACCATTCTGGCACAGCAGTAGGCTAGCCCCAAATTTCAAACAGAAACGGCTGTGAAAGCCTGACTCACAGACGAACACAATACAGAAGCCTGATGATGGCGGATGAGATTCTGCCGAAATGTTGCTACAACTTTAAAAGCACAACTATAATGACGTGGGAAAATATCCGAACAAAGCTGAATACCGTGGGATTCAAAACTTTTTACTACCGGTTCTGTGGGCGTGTCTTGGTAGGTGGGGCAGGGGAAGGTTACTGCCAAATCCCCATTCCCTCCCTACCCCACTAACCTGCTTTCCAGCTCCGTTCTCCTGTGCAGGGCAACCAAAGAAGACCCAGCCGATCAGCTGGGACTCAATGGGAGGCAGAGAAGAGATGGGGGCGGGGCCAGTCAGAGGTGGTATTTGCCGGTTCTCTGAACTACTCAAAATTTCCACTACCGGTTCTCCAGAACTGGTCAGAACCTGCTGAAGACCAACCTCTGATAGAATGCCTGTGGCATATATATCAGCACTTAGGAATAGATGCCTTCTCACCATTACAGAAGTCACTGGAGAAAAGGACAAACTTACTGAAGGCTTTTTGCGTGCCCTGGCTTGGATGCAGAAACCCGCACTTTAGTAGGGCCTGGTTGGTGGTGGCCTCACCAATATAGAATTTCCCTGTCACAATCTATTTGATGTGCCTCTTCTCAGGCTCAGTTTTAAGAAGCGAAACTATAAATCTCATAGACTTATAGAGCAGAATAAACAGAGTTGGAAGGGACCTTGGAGGTCTTCTAGTCCAACCTCCTGCTCAAGCAGGAGACCCTATACCATTTCAGACAGATGGCTGTCCAGTCTCTTCTTAAAAACCTCCAGTGTTGGAGCATCCACAACTTCTGGAGGCAAGTTGTTCCACTGGTTTATTGTTCTCACTGTTAGGAAATTTCTCCTTAGTTCTAGGTTGCTTCTCTCCTTGATTAGCTTCCATCCATTGCTTCTTGTCTTGCCTTCCCAGAGAGGCCCCTCTTTTTGCTGTATTTAGACTAGTGTTTCTCAACCTTACCATAGCAACTTTAAAATGTATGAACTTTGACTCCCAGAATTCCCTGTCTGGCCAACTGGGGAATTCTGGGAGTTCAAGTCCACACATCTTGCTGAGGTTAAGAAATAAGACCAAGGAGCTTATAGTGGACTATAGAAGGAACAAATCAGACATCCAGCCCTTACTTATCAATGGGGACTGAGTGGCCAGATTCTTCAGTTTCTGGGTGTTACCCTAAAAGAGGACCTGACCTGGAGTGCTCACATTGCAGCCCTGGTCAAAAGGGCCCAGCAGAGATTTTACTACCTGAGGCTTCTCAGAAAACAACAAGTGAATGAAAAACTGCTGGTGACCTTCTACCGCTGCACCATAGAGAGCATTTTAACATATTGCATCTCTGTATGGTTTGCCAATTGCACAGGGGCAGATAGGACAGCACTCCAGAGGGTTAATGTCATTGTCCAGAGGATCATTGGCTGCCTTCTCTCCTCTTTGGAAGAGCTTTATAGCTCCCGCTGCCTTAAGAGAGTTCAAAACATTCTTAAAGATCCATCTCATCCTGGGCACCCTTTGTTTTGAACTATTACTGTCTGGCAGACGGTACAGGATAATAAAAACAAGGACAAATAGGCTGAAAAACAGCATCTATCCCAGGGCAGGAACACTTCAATTCTGCTGTATAGTGCACCGAAGATGGTAGTTAATTTCATTGTACGATGTGCAATGACAGTAAAGTAAAGTAAAGTGAAGTGAAGTGAAGTGAAGTGAACTAAACTAAACTAAACTAAACTAAACTAAACTAAACTAAACTAAA